ACACTTGTATCTTTAATCTATCAATCACCATTGAAATCCTTCACTTTCTCTCACTAAAATCTACTCCTAATTTAGAGAGAGAACCTCCTAATCAAACCTAATTCTAGAGAGAGACTATTCTAATCTAAAAGTATTTCATGTATGAAGAATAAAGAAGGACGTACAATATATATACAAAACGAGGAAATAAAAGAAATTGCAAGTAAAAACCAGAAACCCGCGCCCGCGGAGGAGAAGACCCTAAAGGTCACGCCTATGGCTGGAACCTGCTCCCGCGGGGCTAGGCCCGCACCCTCAGGGTTCCCGCGGCCTGCCCTTGGGAAGTTCCTGCCAAAAATGGTTGCAAAAAGGTCGCAGCAGCCCCGCACCCGCGTCGGCAGACCCTGCGCCCGCGGCTGTTGCGCGGCCGAGCATCTGGTGCGTGGCCGCTCGTGCTGCGCGCAAGGGAGCTCGGGCTACACTTCTAGTTGTTATATACAAAAAGCGTAAATGCTTCTTCCCCAATCTTAAAGAACCCGCGGGCGCGGGTTATGCCCAGATTGCCCGCGGAGTTAGTTATGGGTTCCGTACCTATTTCTGGGTTCCTGCGAGATCTTCTTGGAGATAGTGTGGCCGACCAGTTTTTCTTCTTTGTCTATAAATAATCTTGTAAATCCTTTTGAAGAAAAACATTAATAATATATTTCATTTGCTTTGTTTTTAGAGAGAGAAGTTAGAGAGAATTTCGAGAGAATGTAGAGATTGTAATCTTTGGATTTGATTTGTAATTCAACATTGTTTCTTCATTCAAGTTTTGAATTCTTTTTCATATCAATCAAAATTTGTGAGATTTCTTTCCTTTAGAAATTACTTCAATTGTAGTTTTCTTTTATGCTTGAATGTTTAGTTTGGATTTTGATTTAGTTTTGAGAATTTGTTGATTGATTGTATTTCCTTTTGATTTATTTTGAGATGATTATGTTTGTGATTGAATTTGTTTTGGCTTTAAATTTCACCATGATTAGTGAGTAGATTAGTTGCTAGGGAGAAGAGGAAGCATACCTGATTGACTATTTTTGCTAGTTGATGATCCTTGATTGATTGAATTGTTGCAATTAAATCAGTTGACATAGTTGTGCATGTGATTAATTAGACTAGTAGTGATCAACCTATAAGATTAATCTAGATTGCATTGTAAATTTTCAATGACACAAACAATTCATTTGAGAATTGCTTTAATTAATTGAATTTGATTGTGATTCTCCTTGTTGACCATTCATAATGAACCCTAGTTTGGTTTATAGGAGATAGCTTTTGGATTCCTTTTAGTGCAACTATTGTTTGTCCCTGGCAATGTTAGAATCAATTGGGTGATCTATCAATTAGCATGATTGTTAAGCTTGCATGAGGAACCTATATCCCTAGTGTTTAGTATATTGATTAATTTCTTTGAATTGTCTTGTTTCTTGTCACCTTAGTTACAAAACTCAACCATTGATAATTCTTCGATTTAGCTTAACATTAGACTATAGCATAGCTTCGATTCATTCCTTTGGGTTCGACCCTTAGCTTGCCTCTACACTCGTATAAGGTTTGTTAAGCGTTTACAAATTTAGTTTGACCAAGGGAGAATTAGATGACGACCTAGTTCCAACCCTTGTCAAAATGGCGCCATTGCCCGGGAAAAGCATTTACGCTTTTTGTATATATGCTTGTGTATATAGCTTTGAATAAGCTTGGGGGTGTTAGTTTGTTTTTGTTTGGTGACTACTAGATTGTGATTCTAATAAAGGGCCCGTTCTTTGCTTCACTTTTAGGGATACCACCAAATTTTAAAATTTTAGCCTACCCCTAACCTTTTTCCCTTACGTTACAACCTTTGGGAAAGTCCTTTCGACCTAGTGGTTGAGTCATATACCAAGGGAGGGCATTATGAGTTAAAGCCTAAGGAAAAGGGATGCAAGGTCAAGATGTTGAGAAAACATCAAATTCTACTCTTTTTCCGGTTCCTTCGAGGAACCATAAAGACGCTCACTAAGGGAAGATTTGAAACCATAGGGAGAACGCGGCGATTGGTTGGGATGAAAGTGCATTGCGCCTCATTAATTCTCTACGCTTGGGATAGCTTATGTTTAAATCAACCGTAAATATCTTGAAGCATGCATACCCATTTTATATAGAAAAGTGTTCATGCATTTGCAATTGATCATTTGTGAAACTCTTTGTCAAGAGCTATTTGTTTGAATTTTTGTTTTACTTTCTTTTCTTTTTAAATGATTTTGCCTCATTTAATTTCAAAGATTTGTGGATTAAATTCTTAGGAAACCCTTATGAGACCTCACTCGTCCTCATAGGCTACTTTGGGGCTTAAAGGGCTTGTTGTAGCTAAAAACAACTGTGATTCCTACGATAGTGAGTCTTAGTGTATATTCTTCTTCTCTCACTTTTTATGCTTAAATAAACCCTCATTCCTTTTTAGCCTTTGTTTTTCTCGAGACGAGAAAAATTCTAGCTTGGGGAGGAATTTAATGAGTGTCATTTATTACAATCATAGGGTAGTGTTTTAGGATATTTTCACTATATTTTTCATGCTTTTCTTTTATCATTTTGGTCATTTATTCTTTAGTTTTCTTCTGTTTTCTCTCTTTGGTTTCATTTGTAGGTGCCTAAGAACTTAGCTTTGGAAAGGATTCAATAGGAGCAAAAAGAGCCAAGCAAAGGAGTTTCAAGCCTCATGAAGAGGGCTTGGAGAGGGCTCAGAGAGGGCGCTCTGCTTCTTCTCATTGCCGTGGGCGCGGGTTATATGCATCATTTTGGTGATTTTGGGAAGGAACTCTCTGTGCCCTGGCCGCGGTCTAGCCGCAGGCGCGGAGGATCTAGAGAGACCGCTCCAGAATAGAGAAACCGTGGCCCCCCTACTTCACCTAGAATAGGGAATCTGCCGCGCCCTGAGCCGCGGGCGTGGCTTGCTACACTTCTAGGCACTCGGCTCGCTTCTTTAACGCTCGGGATTTCCACCTCGGAACTCGAGCTTGCGGAGCTTGCTTGGATAGGCTTGACTTGCGTGCTTGGCTTCCCTTACTTGGCTCCGTTAAATTCCTTGAATGCACTTGAGCTCCCTCCTTGATTTATTAAATCCGTTGGAACTTGACATACCTACAAAACAAGACATAGAAATAAAGAAGCGAGAGAAATAATCGAGATATGAATAAAATACTAAGAAAACCATCAAAAGCACGCATTATTCAAAACTAACACACAAACACGCAAATCGGGCATTATTCCCTAGAAACATGACATAAACAACTAAAAACGAGCATAGAAATATAAAGAAAACATAGCCTAAAGGTGCCATAAATGGCACGGATCAATCATAAATCTTAGGATCAACTCCCTCTAATGCAATGGTGCGAGTAAAACTCATTAAAAATATTGTTTGGATTATTAGTCACCTTGAATAATGGCAAGTCCATAGCTACGAACGTTTTTTCTAAAGCAAGTCCTGTAGGAGGAACGAACTTTTCTACGTCGAAGTACTTGTTCCCCGTTGTGGAACGAAGAACAAGCTTCTCCAACGACTTTTCTTTGATGGATAATTCCTCCATCTTTTGTTGCAAGGCCAAAGTTTCGACGTTTTTCTTTTCATCTTTTTCAAGTTTCTTAATCCTTCTCTCCTTGGCCTCTTGAGCCTTTTTTCTCTCAAACGAGCAATCTCTTCTTGGAGTTGCTCTATTGTTGACATCGTTGTTGGACTAGAATTTGTTGTTGAGGGAAGGTGGTTTGAAATGGGTGAATTATTTAATGGTAAACGTAGAGCACCCGGTAGTCTTCGTTCGCAAGCTTGGAAACTAGCTCTAAAAGGAGTATGAAAGGATAAGTAAATTGATACGATTGTTTAGGATACAAAAGAAGAAGAAAGGATGAAAGAAAAGACGCAAGATGCATTCGAATGGATAACATTACCTTTAAACAATTCTTTGATAAAGATATTATTTGATCGAGTCAATTGTTCTTTAAAGAATCAAAAGGACTCGTAACAGCAGGCGCGCGCAAGTAGCTAGGTTGCACGCGGAAGGCGCGCGCATCCTTGGCTATTGCGCTGGTAGTGGTCGCGCAACTCAATGAGTTGCACAAGCCACTTGCTCACGCGATTTTTTTTGTTCGAGCAACTCTTTGTAGTTCACAGCAACTCTTATCTATTTTTTTCGATTTTTTTTATGTTACCCTTCGAATACGACTCAAAATTACGAAGAATCAACTTCGTAATTGGGAACCTTAACCAAACTAGAAAGAATACAAAAAGGTATCCTAAACACATCACACATAATCATGTAATCATATATGCATACAATAAGCCAAGGTTCACACAATTCATTTCTAAGGTCGTAATCTTGGTTGTCAAGAGGTACCATATCTTAAGCAACAATGCGCAAATCAATCACTCAATGTGTTGCCTCATGAAATAGCCCTCCCAACATTTTGTTGGCGATATGGGTGGGATGATTGACGATGGGGTTGAGACTCGGTTGTTGGACTAATATTCCCTAGGCCAAACTAAATTTATATCACTCAACACACCCTTATAACTAGTATAGGGGTAAGTCAAGGGTCGAACCACTAGGAATGGGAGGTGGTTACTATTGCTAGAGTTAAGCTATTTTGAAAAGGGTGAAATAGAGGTGTGTGTACTCTAAGACAACTAAACAAACTAGATGAATTCAAATATATCAGACAATAGGGTTTAGGATCCACATATAATTACAATGGATACAACTAATCAGGATTGGAAATGACTAAGGCGAGTATTGCGAGGGAAAATCAATAATGCAATCAAAAGAGTATGATAAGCTATCACTACAAGAAAAAGCTTTTTGGGCGACGGGTGCATTTAGTAAGGGCAACGAAACTTCCTTGCGTTGCACATTGTTGATATTTTATGCGATGAGATTTAATGTGTCGCCCAAAATAAAATTATGGGAAACAAGTTATTTCTTTTTTGCCCTATACAAATATATAGGCAACGAAACAGGGGATGTGTTGCTCTTTATTATTTTTTTGGGCCACGAAATATAACTTGGTTGCCTATTACAATAGTAGGGAGACAAATAACTTAATTCGTTGTATATTTTTATTAAAAAAAAAGTTGAGTGGTATTTTATTTGGTTTCCCAAATCCCACTAAAAATTTGGCGGAATAAATACCGCTTTCATTGAAATTCCCCCAAAAAAACTCATAAGACTATTGATGCAAAAATTTCAGTACTGCTTCCCCTAAAAAAATTAAATAAATAAATAAAAAGTAAAAAATAAAAATTAGTATTGCTAAAAGAACTAACCCTTTACCCACGATCAAACAATTTTCCCTTCTCATTCGTTATAAAAAAATCCCCAATTTCTCTTCTCTTTGCTTTGATTAAACCGAAAGCGCTATTGAAGAGGTAGTTCTTCCATTATTTTTGCATTGCTTTTTAAAACTCAGTATTTCTTTAGCTAATTCATCCGTTAATTCAGCCATAAACCCTAACTTATTTAATATGTATGTGAGGTAGCGGTGACGAGCGGTTTGGATTCAAGGCAATTGACGGTGGTGAGGCAGCGGTGACAGCGAATTTAAGGTTGACGCATTGACAGCGATGAGGTAGCAGGTCGGTTACTCATCCTCTCTCTTTACTGTAGTTATCTTTTTTATTACTACTAATTATTTGTTATCTGTTGAATTATTGTTTAAAATTTTTAATTTCTGTGAATTATCCTTGTATTATTGGTTTTGTAGATTAATAATGATGTATTGTATACAAAATTTTCATTGATTTTAAAACCATAATTCGGTGAATTATTTTGGATTTAATTGTTTATGTTGATTTTTAGCCACCTTTTTAAAGGTTATCAAAGGTATAAATTTTGGTATTCTCAAATTGGCAAATTCATATTCACGCTTTTCACAATTGCAACATAATAAGGAATCTAGAAATTATGTTGTATTGTTCAGGAAATATTGTCAAGATTGTAGAATGGAAAATTATAGCTTACATTCTTAAAATCATATGTTTCTAGAAATTAAAACCATAATGGGTTTGATGCGGTGTCGAATGAAAGTAAAGTTGTTAGGATCATATTGTAAAAGGATAACCTTGGATTGCTTGACAGTGAGTTTGTAAGTTCAGTTTATGTGCTCTTATTTGGTACAAAAAAGTTGAGGAGACTTGATTTTAATGCTCTGTTTGAAATGCACTCTCGTTCGTGTAATGTGGGTGGTTTTCTGTATCGGTTGACATCGGTTATATGGGAAAGACGGTTGAATTGTGTCCTTTGATTTGGTCCTAATTGTTTATGTTGATTTTTAGCCCCCTTATTAATGGTTATCAAAGGTATAATTTGCATATATGGTGCCCCACAAATGTCCTTTTAGGTTGTTCATTAATTCTGCTTCAAAAAGCTTTCATTAATTTTAATTTGATTGTTTGGATAAACATGGGTAATAATCCAGTTAGGGGATCGGACTATGGTGATCCATAACACTTATCTGACATAATCATATAATTGATTAGCTATGTACTTAACCATTTAATTTTCTTACATTCAATTTGTTAAAGGTTTTCTTTTATTTTCATTTCAAGAATGAATAGAGATCGAACTTTGATGAACCACAATGGTATAAAGGATAGGAAAAAAACAGAGTATAAAGAAGTGGTTGATGAGTTTTTAGAATTTGCTTTCAAAGAAAAAAATGACAGTACATTGTTAAAATGTCCATGTTTGAACTGCCGATTAATGATGGCCCAAGATCGGAAAACTATACAATGTCACTTACTAGTATATAGTCTAGACAGTAGTTATAGTCCATGGGTGAGTCACTGAGAAAATGATAAACAAGATGGTAATAATGAAAATGATGAGGACGCGATGGAGGTCTCATATGACAAAGAGGATGAAATGCCTTTTGATGACATGGCTCCATTGGTTTTTGATGCAACAAATGCATGGAATAATAATACTACAACTTCTGAAGTTCCCATTGATAGTGGTAACACCATGGAGTTTGGTTCTAGTAGTTGCAATGATTAAACCCCTAATAAGGAGTTCATGACGTTACTTGAAGATATAGAGGCCAAGTTGTATCCAGGGTGCAAGACAATCAAGAGATTGGAGTTTCTTGTCACATTACTACACATCAAGTTAGTAATAAGTGGAGTGATAAGTCTTTTTCAATATGATTGAGTGCATTGCATAGGAAATTTAATCATGATAAAAAGTTTCCTGCAAATTCTTATGAATCAAAAAAATATACAAAAGCACTAGGATTAGATAATATAAAGATTGATGCTTGTGTAAACCATTGCATTTTGTTCCAGAAGGAGTTTTCAAATGAAGAAAAATTCCCTAAATGCTTGGCTCCTAGATGGAAGGACAAAGTTGTGCAAGGTGGTGATGTATCTTCGGGGGATGAAGGTGGTGATGTATCTTCGGGGGATGAAGGTGACGAAGGTGTTGCTGGAATAAAAACTCAAATTCCTCAATTAGTTTTACGTCATTTTCCTTTTATTCCAAGGTTGCAAAGAATGTTTGTGTCCTCAAAATTAGCAAAGCATATGCAATGAAATAAAGATGAATGCCCAAATGATGAGGTTTTGAGGCACCCAGCTGATTTAAAAGCATGGAAGTCTTTGGATAACCTATATATCAAGAATTTGTTGCTGATGCTCGTAATATACGCTTGGGTTTAGCAAGTGATGGATTTAATCTTGGGGCTAACATGAGTAGCAGATATAACATTTGGCCAGTAATGTTAGTGCCATATAATTTACCTCCTTTGATGTGCATGAAAAGTGATAACATGATCTTATCTTTTCTAATTCCTAGTCTTAAATCTCCGAGGAATGATATAGATGTATTTTTTGCAACCTTTAATTGATGAACTAAAAGAATTGTGGGAGATAGGAGTAAAAACTTTTGATGCTCATGCCAAGCACACTTTTAATATGCGAGCAGTGTTGATGTGGACTATTAGTGACTTTCCAGCTTATGCTAATCTTTTTGTTTGGAGCACTAAAGGGAAACTTGCATGTCCTAATTGTCATAAAGATATACAATAATTTTGGTTAAAACATGGGCGCAAATACTATTATATGGATAATTGAGTGTTTTAGAGCCAGATAAAAAATGGAGACGTAATAGGAGTGCATTTGGTGGGAAAGTCGAACGGGGTCCTTCTCCTACTCCACTTACAGGACATGATGTTTTAGAAAAATTAAGTGGCTATTCAATGTGGAGTTTGGAAAAGGTGTTACTAAATAACGAAAAAAAAGGCGAACAATACATCGTGCATCAGTGAAAGAAGGAAAGTTGTTTCTTTCAATTGCCATATTGGAGGAATCTTTTAGTGCGACATAACTTAGATGTTATGCATACTGAAAAAATTTAAGTGAAAGCATATTAGGCACACTACTTGATTTATCAGGAAAGAACAAAGACACCTTAAATGCTCGATTGGACTTAGATGGTATGAAGATGCATAGTTAGCTACGTGTAACATCTTTAGGAGATAAAATGTGAAAAATCCCTCCGGCATCTTATAACCTAACTTTGAATGAACAGAGGAAAATAGTTACCTTTCTGTCTAAACTGGCTTTTCCAGATGCTTATGCTTCAAATATATCGCGGTGTACTTCTTTGCAAGATTGAAAAATCATGGGAATGAAAACTCATGATTACCAAGTTTTCATGCAAGATTTGATCACGCCTGCCTTTAAGGGTGTCATAGATGAGAAGGTTTTGGAACCTTTGAGGGATGTTAGTTTATTTTTTAAGCAATTATGCTCGAAAACTGTGAATATTTCCGACTTAAAGCAAATGGAATCAAACATTACAGTCACCTTGTGCAAGATAGAACGTACATTTGTTCATGCATTTTTTTATGTGATGATACATCTTCCAATGAACTTAGCCACTAAAGCTAGGATGGTTGGCCCTGTGCATTATCGGTGGATATATCGCTTTGAAAGGTAAGTAACTAGTAATGGTAGTTTTTAATTACCTACATAAATAAATACATACATTATAACTATACTTTCTTAAAGGGCAATGAGGACATTTAAATCATATGTTCGAAACAAAGCTCACCCCAAAGCTTCAATTGCTAATGGTTACATTAAAATGGAATGTCTGACATTTTACTCTAGAAATATATCTAATATTAAGGCACAATTTAACCCTCTAGATAGAAATGACGACATTGACCATCAACAACCCCATAGCATGTCGGTTTTCTCTATAATGGGCAAGTCTTTAGGGAAGACAAATCTAAGGCAGCTGAATTTTGATGAATGGAATGAAGCTCAAATATATGTTTTAAAAAATTGTGATGAAGCACAACCTTTTCTAGAGTAAGTTAATTCAAGTGATGTAAAAAAATATATATACAGTATACTAATTAATACTTTAATTTCTATGATTAGTGAGTATGAAAATGATCGAAGTCTTCCAAAGATTGACTTTTGCAAGTGGTTTAAATATAGGGTAAGTAAGCGCATACTTCTTTTTTCCTATTATTTTTTCCCCTTTTCTTTATTGTTTTCTTATTACATGTGAATAACACATTGTTAAGCTTTGGATAGATGGGGATGAACGGATATATTACAGAAGAGTTATTGTGTTTAGCACGAGGACCTGTGAAACGTGTTGTGACTTTTGATGGATATTTCATTAATGGGTTTAGATTTCACTCTAAAAAAAGGCAAAGAAATCGTAAAACTCAAAATATTGGTGTAGTTGTAAAAAGCGGTGATAAAAGTGGAGAAATTCTTTTTTATGGGATTTTATAGGAGGTTATTGTGTTAGAGTATGGTGCCTTAAAAAATCGAAAAAGTCCCAAAGTTTTTCTGTTTAAACGCAAGTGGTTTGATGTGTTTAGTGAGAGGAGAGGGATTAAAAGAGACAATTTAGAAGCAGTGCTTATCAATGTCACTCAAAAGTTAAAAAGTAATGAGTCATTTGCTTTAGCTTCTTAAAATAAGAAAGTTTTCTATGTAACCGCTCATAATGAACCAAATTAGAGATATGTAATCAAGGAAAATCCAAGAAACTTCTTTGATTTCCCTAATGATAAAGATACTCATGAAAATGAATCATTATGGGATCATGTGGCACCACTTATAACTAACTATGAAGATAGAGATGATGAAGACATTAATTTAGTTAGAAATGATGTTTAATTTGAAGTTGTAAACGCTGACATCAACCAAGGAAATGATTTTATTAAGGATGAAGATAAGGAGGAGTCGAGATCTCTGATATGGAATCTACTTTGCATGCGCTTGATGGCGATCTTGAAGACGATGAATATGAAAGTGATAATTCTACTGAATAAGTTAGTTGGTGCATTAAAACTGGTATTAATTTATAAGATATATATAGTTGTAAGTAGAATTTTGCTTCTATACAATTATTATTTTAATGATTAATTAGTATCATTATGGCTGATTTACAGTGACTTAAGAGTTGATTGGAAGCTTGAAGGCATTGCAGGTCATAAATATGAAGATCCAATAATTTCATTTATATAGTTAAAGCTATTTAAACATTTTTTTTTCTTGTTTTTTTTAAGCAAAGCCCTAAGAGGGAATAAACTATATAAGTTGAAACTATCTAAACAACTGCTTATTGTTTTTTTTATTATTATTTATTTTGTTTTTCATTATTCACTATAAATTGATTAATAATATTCATGATTATAGTGTTAATACTGATATATTTGTCTTTTGTTTATTTAAATATGTGTATACATATTGATATTGTTTTTAAATATATTATCCAAAACAGGTAAGTATACTAATTTTTAATTACCTATCTTTTCTTATTCAAATGATTTCTTCTAGAATTAATTTATTAACTTATTTACGTTGAATACATTTGACATGAATTTTTTTGTAGCAAAATGTCAATCATACCAACATCATCGGAGAAAAATCAACAAGAAAATGAGATTCAACAACCACCACAAAGGTTAACTTATCATAAGCAGTGAAGGATTGACCAAGCTGAGCTTTGGAAAAAATGTCCTGATCATAAGAGGCGTGTTCCTACAAGGGGCTTAAAATATGCTTATAAAAGGGAAAAAAATCTAGACAAAAAAAATTACAATAACCTTCATGGATGAGCTTCGACATGTGGTTGGTGAAAAGGCAAATGAGTTCATATGCGATTGTAGCAATTGGGTCGAAGAGTTTTGTCCTTTAGATGCATTGTATGTCTAAGCTTGCCAAAATTAATTTCACTTATCTAACAAACATGTCTTAAATAGCACATCTATGTGATTTATGATTTTTTTTCAAAAAAAAAAATTGGTAGAAATTGGGCTAAAATTGATTCTTCTGCAAAGAAAAGTTTGTATGACAAGATTTTGGTGAGTTTGAGTTTTATAAAACATAATTGTTAAAGTTTATATTATTAGATCAGTTTACTAACTATATGTTTGGTGTGCTGTATTTGAAATGATGATTTACTAGGGAAAATACAATTTACCTGAAAAGGTTGGTGGTGCGTACGTCATTGATGCATTGAGCTTTCAATGCTCTATCCTATATAGGCATTGGAGGTTAAGACTAAAGAAAAAAATACTATAGAGGTAAAACTAAGGCAGAGGCTAGAGACAATAGACCTCCAACTATTGATCCGACATAATGGGATTGTTTTTTTACAAGAATTGGAGTTCCCCAAAACAAGAGGTAATGTGCCCCCTTTTTATTCAATATCGTTGCAATTATGTTACATTGACTAACTTGTTCAAATTATAGGCCATTAGCAAAGTAAACACAGCAAATAAAGTAAAGTTGACTTAAACACCGTCCAATGGAGCAAAGTCTGCAGCACGAATATTCTTTGAACTAGTGTGGTTTTTTGGCTTTTCAATTACAAAACTATATCAATTACAAATTATTCATTTGGATATTCATTTATTTTTCATATGCAGCTTAATGAGCCACCAAATTTCTCCACTCAAGATGAAGAGCCATCCGAACATGCAGAAGTACAACAACAAGATCCCATCTACGTGAGATTATATGAGAAGACCAAAAAGAATGTTTATTCAATTATTTTTTAACAAAGAGCAATGAATATTTTTTTTAAGGAGGGACTCTCCGCGATTTCTTTTGGACTGCATTTAACACAGTCAGAGCATCAGATTTTGTTATGCATCAAAGTGTTGCATAAAAAAAATGCTTCCATAATTGATGTTGCATATTGGTGGGATTGGCTAGCTAGGCCTTTAAGATTTGATGAAAATTAGTCTGATGGTTATATAAAATTGGGTTCCACTACTTAGAATCATGAGACAGTAGTACAAAACTAGACATTAAGATGACTGCAAAAGAATTGTTTTAATAGCTAGTGTTCCACACTGATTTTCCCCCGCTTGGCAACAAGTCTTATATTTTTGTACAAATGATGACGTTATTTCACTATGCATTTATGTTTCATGGATAGGAGTGGTCGAGTAGTGCTTGATTGCTTGTTTCTAATCTAGTTATTATTGAGAACAAGTTGATTGGAGTACTATCCAAATTTTCTACTCTAATTTTGCATATGTGCTTACATTAGGACTGAAATTAGCATAAAACAAATTGTTTTGTATATTGTTTGTGTTCCATTAGAAAAGTCCTGATAATGCTTTTATTTGAAACTATATATAAGCACTATGTTCTTTGAAAAATGATGCAATAATTTTTTAGGCTTAATTAATTGAATAAGCATAAGAAAAAGGATGGGAATACTACTTGGGAGCCAAATGATGAAATGAACTATGAAGAACTCAAAAGGCTTCCCTGAAACTAAAATTGAAGAACATGGTGAGGTCACACTCAGTGTAAAAGATGCTTATATGAAAGTGATAAACCTAAATATGGATATGTGAGAGGACTTGGTCCTGGAGCTCAACCACCTACAAAAGTTAGAGCCTAAGGAGATGATATGGAAAGGGTTCAACTCGTTACTTAATTTCACACACTTAGTGCATCAAATGAAGAGCTTAGAGCATCGAATGAACAACTAAAAGCATCAAATGAGGAGCTCAAAGTAGAATTTTCTCGAATGAATAAGGAAGTCGTTGAACGTGAAAAGAAACTAAGAGAAGATATGCTAAAAATGTTTGAGGAAATGAGGTAATATTCTTCTTCTTTCTTTTCGGGCTTTAATCAAGTCTTACTAATACTATGCACTGATTTTATCTCTAGTCTTCTGTTCACATGTAATTGAGCAAGCCCAGGTTAATCTCAGTGATAAACCTGGCGCGTTTATCTCAAGATAGATTTGTCTTTCATATCGTAAGTCAGTGGTGCTTTGGTAAATAGCTGGTCACTCAGAATTTTGCATGTTGACCCAATATCAAACGACGTTATGTCCCTAAGGTTAACCATAGTTAACTTGTGTCAGTTTTTCCAAGTAATATCCGTGAATTCAGGCCTCTTCAATGCTCGATTGCTTCAGGAAACTCTCTTCATTGCACGCTTTGCTCTGTTTTTTTGAACTATTTTTCCACGAATTAGTTAATTGACTTTCCGAATTAGGAAAATCCTTGGTCTAAGTTTGTCGTCGATTCGTAAAGTGTGATTGGGGATGGTAGTTGTGTCTTTCTGGGTGTGTTCATTGTTATAGTATATAGTATTATTATATGACTATGTTGGTAATTGTATGAAACTATGAATTGTTTTAAATGGTGATGATAGGGAGTGTGTTGGTGGGAAACTTGTGTAGGATAATGGAGGTGGCGGTATGATTATACATTATTCCTGCTAGTTTTCTCCTTTAGTTTATTTTTAAATTTGGGGAAATTTTATTTTGATAACCAAATACATTGTTTGGAACTTTGATATCCTCTCTACTAATGGGAATGTAGGCTACTCTAGCCATGGAGCCATGGAGGGTTGAAAGGATAGAAAAGTGGGTGACTTTCTCTAACTTTCAGACATTTTTATTTTTAACTGTTTAGTTATTTTTTTTTATTTTGAGGAATTGTTTAGTTAATTCACCTTGAGATGGCTATGGTTTTGGGGTTAACGTTGGGGAAACGGATGTTTTACCGTTATTTTGCTTTTACATGGCAGCTGACAAATGTGGGCCCCTGATCTCGTTTTTTATTGGATGTTTGCGAAAACCGATGTAATATTATTACAGAAATGTCATATGATAAACTAACCAAGTTTATCACCGAGATGAACTTGAATTTTCTCCATGTAATTAGATATTTTAGTAACATTTTTTTGTAAGTATTGATGCCTATTTTAGTCTTATTACCTTACAAGAACAAGGGAGCATGATGTTTTTCCTTAACAAATCGAGAACATCCTGTGCATTTTGGATATAATAGCGATATTCATGAATATTAGATAGAGTTTAACTACGTTTATAATTTTTCCATGTATTTTCCCAAAGGCTTTTTCCTTATGTTTGAGAAACAATTAATTTATAATATGATTGCTATATGAAAATTCTTAAAGTTGTCATATTAGTTATGTTTGTAATGTAATTATACAAGACCAGGGTACAAGTATTTTTATTGTGAAGTAAATTTTTTGTCACGTAAAACAGGTAGGAGAAATTTAGGTGTAAGAACGATAGGACAATAAAATAAATATCATTTTTCCCTAAATCATCTTATAGTAACCATAAAGTAGTACACATTACAATTAGAATTTGAAATTAGCGTAACATTGATAATATGGGCAACATAGATGTAATTTAGTTGCCCAAAATTGCATTGGGTGACAACAATATTGTTGCCCCTATCTATTATATTTGGCGCAACATTGTATATTTGGGCAACATAAACGATAGTTCGTTGCCATAAATTGTTTTGGGTGACAATAATATTGTTGCCCATATTATTGTAACAAACTGCATTCAGCTTTTTTTGGCGACGATTATCACTCTTTCGTAGCCCAAAGGTAATTAAGCAACAATATAAATCTTCGTCCAAACAATACTTATGGCGACGAAGCACACAGTCGTTGCACATAAAGGTACTTATTATAGGCAACAAAATCAAAGGTCGTAGTCAAAATAGTATTATGTGCAACGCATGTAATCGTCGCCATAACCTATATATGGGCAACGCAATATATAATCGTCATCCAAAACCGTAACAACGTCGATCCTTGGCCGACGAGCCCACGACGACTTCCTAGTCGTTGCACAAGGCTTTGGGCGACGACAATTGAGGCTTAGACGAAGAATTCTGTTGTTGCCCAAAGGCTTTTTCCTTGTTATGTATATTCTCCTAGAGGTCAAATTAGCGTCAACTACGAGATACTCTAGCTAGGAACTTCACAAACCAACTCAATCGACAAATGCAAGCCACAAAACAATTGTTCGTATCAATGTGAACTTACAATGCAATCTAGTGCAACAATCAAAGTTAGCTACTCTTCAATCTATCACACACAGGCACATAATCAATCAACCAATTTTAATCACAACATCAACTCCATCAATTTCCCCCAATTAGCATCAATCCATTACTCATATATGCTTCACCATTCCCCTATCAAGAAAATTACTCACAAAATCCATGGAAATCAAGATCAAAACTAAGCTAAACAACAAGTTCATCATCATCATATTAATCAAACTAAATTAATCACAAATCAATCAAACTTGAACAATCAACAATACAATTGAAATCAAAAGATACAGATTGCATTAAAGTAAAAGAAATTCTTACAAACTTTGGTGAAATCAATAGAAATTGCGCTTAGAATCATCAATCATCAACCATGAAATTCTCTCTCTACAACCTAGAGTTTCTCTCTCTAAAACTATCTCTAATTACCTTCTCATTGAATTCTTCTTCAATTCTCTCACTAAAAATAGAAGGAAAGACTATAAATAGTAAAACTAACAAAGAGAAATTAGTAAGATCGTCTAAAATAGACCCGTACAAGCGCGCCCATCTTCAAGAGGGAGCACGACCACGCAAAAATGGGTAAGGAATAAGGAGAGAAGGCGGCGCGCCTGCGCCACTAGGCCGCACGGTCGCGCCATATTTGCGCACGCTCAAGTCTGGGAACAGGGCATCCCCCCTTCACTCTCACTTTGATGCTCCTCGTGTGCTCCACTTGATGCTCTAGATAAACACGGGACATGGCAGACCCAAAATCACCACGATGGTGGGTTCAACAAGAGAATTTGTGCCCCCAAGGCTTGAATGCACGGCCTAAAGTAAAATGGAACTTGCACTTCTCCATGCTTGAGCTTCAAATAGAGAACACTAGGCATCCTAATCACTGCCAAACTCGGGAAGGGGTCTCGCGAATAAGTGGATAACGACCTTAACCTGAAAAATGAAAGAAAACAAACAAATAAAAGGGAAAAACACAAGAAAAACCAAGAAATGCATGAAAATAGAAAATCAACTAAGAAAATGCAAACTAAGGAAATAAAGAGTAAAACTAAGGAAAAACTAATGAAATAATCTATAAATTAGCATGAATTTCACCTTAAAAGCATCAATGCCCATAAATGACACTCATCAAATTGCCCCAAGCTAAAATTTTGCTCGTCCTCGAGCGAAACCAAGCAAACAAAAATAAGGATGAAAGACTTATTCAAAAAGGAAAAGGAAAGACATAAGATGGGAACATACACTAAGACTCACTAACATAGGAATCACGGTTGTTTTTAGCTACAACAAGCCCTTTAAACCCCAAAGTCACCTATGAGGACGAGTGAGGTCTCGTAAAGGTTTCCTAAGAGCTTAACCTATAACTCTCCAACAACATACATGAGGCAAACCACAAAAAGTAAAATAAAAAGAAAGAAAAGCAAAATCAAAACCTTTACGAATTGAACTTTATAAAATGACTACACTTCAAATGAATAAACAATTTTCTTAAGCGAATAGGGGTATGCACATTCCAAGATAGCCAAGGTTGATTCAAAAATAGAATATGCTAAGCGTAGAGAACTAGTTCTCACAATCCACCTTCATCCCATTTGATCTTATCGTGTTCTCCCTATAGCCTCAATTTTCCTCTAGTGAGCATCATAATAGCTCTTTGAAGGAGCCGGAAAAGAACATATTTTAGGCTACTCGACGTCTTGACTTTGCATTCCCTCTCTTTAGGCTTTAACTCATAATGCCCTCCCTTGATATGTTACTCAACCTCTAGGTCAAAAGGTCCTTCACAATGGTTGTAACGTAAGGGAAAAAAAGGTGAGGGTAGACTTAAAATTTAGAATTTGGTTGTATTCCTAAATAGTGAAGCAAAAGGGTGATCAAACCTTCTCCTCATAACCAATTAATCGCCAAATAAAACAAACTAACACCCCCAAACTTATTAAAAGCTATAACTACAATCATATATACAAAAAGCGTAAACGCTTTCTCCCCCAAACTTAAAGGAAGCATTCTCCCCAATGCTTGAAAAGGGGAAAAGAATCACATCAAAATATTTTTGAAATTTTCTCAAAAAAAATTTCTTTTTATG